TTTCTTTTATAATATAGTTAAAATAATGTACAGAGATTCTAACTACTATAATAAATAATAAAAGAATGTCTCAAAAATACAACTACATGTACATATATATTTTTAGTTATAAAAAAAATAAAATACTTGACATTGATTTAAACCTTTATGACTATTCACATATAGTGATTACAATTTTATTAAACCTCGGTTTGGAAAAAAATATCATCAATCGTCCAATCCTCAGTACTAGTAGTAGGTTCTTGAAGACGAGTCTCATTGTCTTAACATTGTCCGAATATATTCATATCAAAGAATTCTTCCATTACTAATTCATCCCTCATATCAATATTCACTGCTTCGATATCAAATTCTAAAGTCTCTTCAAGTCCTTCTTCCTCAAACAAAAGATCAATATTAGAATTCTCAGTATCAGTAGCATTTGTAGTATTTGTAGATAAAGTTTAATCTTTTTTTTTTTTAATGATTCAGGTAGTTTTTGATGAAGATTGTGACGAAGCATCTCAAGCATTCCTATTAAGGTAGTAGATATCCTATTTTGTGATTTTGTTTTTACTAGCTCCAAGCTAAAAAATAAACATTTAATAGCTACTGCATAGAAAACGATTGAAAAGATCTTTATAGCAAATCATCAAAAGAGCGGAGAGCATCTGGAGAATCATGACCAGAAGGTTCTAGGATTAATATCTTTAATATTTTTGTAAGTATCAAAAGGAGCATCTCCATTTTTATAATTTACAAGCTCTTTGTATGAAAAGTAGTATCCCTCTTGTCAAAGCCCCAAGTTTTTGCTAATTCTAAGGAAGATCTGATAATTAAATCTCCAGGCATTTTTTTTGATATCACGATTTGCTTGTGGTATAGTAATAGAAAAAGAGAAATAAAATAAATATGATTATTAGAAAATTCATGAGCTTGTTTGTTAATAGTAGCTAGCATATGATCTTTGAATCTGTTAATTAGAATATTTGCATTTGAAATGGTATAATGAATATTAATTAATTCTTTGAATATATCAGCTAACGTAGCATTTCTTGATTCTAGATGACCAATAGCATCTACAAAGGAAATAAGCACTATTACTAGCATGTCATTGTTAGCAAAATGATAATGGCTATTAACTATGTTTTGAATTTTCATTTTGATTGTAGGATAACTGTTAGTTCTGCTAAGATTAACACATTGTTGAAATCCTCTTTCGAAAGCCCTTACACCCAAACAAACTTTTACTAAAGAGTACCATCTCGTTTCACAGAATATTGTAAGTGAATGATATATATCTTCCTTTTTTTGCTAATTTTGAAGTGTTTGAAGCCAAAAATGAGTGGACATGAAAAAACTGACAAGTTTTTGATTATTTTCAATAACTAAAAGTAAAGGCTGGAAAGAAAAATATCTTTTGCAAGTAGGTTGAAAGAATGAAG